GTGATTGTGATGCTGATACTAATAAATACAAAAAAAAGATTATCAAGAGAAAGAAAAACAATGAGAAAACATACTCTCTTTTTGCGTATATAAATAATTTGATGCTTTGAGTAATAATTTGCCACATGCTCGAGATATTGAATTAATCACACCTGAAATGAAGTGTATCATGTAAGAAATCTCGATTATAGTAATAATTCAAATTTTTACCATCTATTGTTACCAATGTATCGGTTTTCATAATAGCTAAACAACAACGTAAATTTTCTTCTTCACATAATTTGTGACGATAGCGAATCACATAAAATGTACTGGATTTTTTAGACGATGTTAAATCATAATCATTATCAGCAACCTATTTAGGGATGAAAATATTGACAAAATAAAAGTAGATTCGAACATGTTTCTAATGTACAACATTTTGACTTAAAAGGATTCCAATAGTTTTGGATAAACTAGAAGATGCATTTGTTAGACCTATTTTTCCGTTCTCAAATGAGTACTTATTTAATTCATGCACATAAAAAAATATTTGTTTTAAGTGACTTAATAAAAAGCAAAGTTCATTGAAAAAATGTAAAGAATACGTTGACAGTGGTTTTAAGAACCATCGCAGCTCGTGCTCTTTCGAACACATCTAAAATCATGCTAAAATAAGAAGCTCCTGAAATTTGTTGTACAACTTTAAACAGAGATTTCTAAAAAATTGCTCTACGTTATATGAGAGTGATACACAGTAAGCAGTCAACAATTCAACTGAAGAAAACAAAACGAATTAACTTTTTATTCGTTTTAACAAAGTTATTTGTGAAAAATAGAAGAAATTAAGCAAGTTATTACCATTTGAAAGCCATTTTCCAACATGAGAGCATGAATAGCTAATACAATAAAATCAAGATCATTTTGTGGCTTTGAATGTTCAAATAATTTATGCATTATAGTTGGATATAATTTATTATCTCGAACTTCGTCTAATGTCAGTGGTTGAGTTAGGATATCGCTGGACGATTTTATCCGATTCATATTTGTGTTACTGTTACAACTAGAAGATGATAGTGGAGATGAGATACTACTGAGTGATGATGACGTGGTTATTGTCAATGGTGAAATCGCAGTGAAAGGTGTTGAATCATTTAATTGTTGTTCGGTCAATAAAACATAGATCGTATCTCCATTAACCAGGCCACATTCTTGTAACCGTTGTTCTTCCTCCAATGGAAATCGACCATTTAGACTAACACGAAATTGAATTCTACAAGCAAATTAAGATATTAAATTTAAAAAAATTATCAGTTATTTACTTCAATTACTTTCGTAGCGGCGTAAACCGTTTTTTCATTTTATTTTTCAATTCCACAATAGTTGATTCTTCGTTTATATCTTCGATTGTCACTGGATAAGTGTGAATGGACATTTTAATACGAAATTTCATTGTTCGTCACGTCAATTCATATAGTATACATAAAAAATAATGATAAACCAAATACACAACCCCTAACAATAATGAAATTCACAGCTAATAAGTTTTACCGTATACACATGCTTCATTATAATTCTGCCCTTGCCTGTCTGCCGACCTCATCATTATTCGCTGTATATTCGTCTACATCAGCCAAACAAAATTGTGCGCGGAGGATAGGGAGTTTTTCTCAGCAGATAGCGCCACAGCTCGATTGTCCGATAGACGAAAGTGTGAATTATATGACAATAAGAAAACGTTTGATTGCATTTTTTTAATACTTAAGAGTTTGTGCCTCATTGTCAATCGTACAAAGTAATAAGTTTCTTGTCCAATCAATGACAAGAATTTGACGCTCTGTTTGTTTTGTTGCTCAAAGATAAGGATGCGAACTTTTAATGTTATTGATTATTAATATATAAAAACGACTTTCTAAATTTTATTTATGTTTTTAGATACGATAACTCTATAATGTAGTGGATCGTAGCCTGATCACTATAATCCTTTTACAGATAAAACATTTGTGAAACTTATCTCGGTTGGAAAACTCTTTGCTTGTTTAGGAGTTGGACGCAGACAAAATATCCTTTAATCCCAAACACACTTTAATGTTACATTTCTCATTTTTTTGTGTATATCAAATTTTCTAAATTTTAGAAGCGCAAGTGATAAAAATTCATTGCTAATAAAGATTGAATGAGTGATCGAGAGGTTTGTATTTTATCCTCAAAAGTTTCCAGTACTAGAACTTTGTGTTTTTTTTCAGCGCTCAGTATCAAGAGATCGAGAGGCTATTATTCGTTCTCGACGAGAACGTCGTTCATCTTATGGCCGCTCGAGATCAAAATCAAGATCCCACAGTCGATTGCGATCTAAACATAGACATCGCCAGTATGTATTGATATTGCACTGTTTATTTTATTTTCAACATATGCTATTTTGTTTACGTAGTTCTCGTTCAACATCTCGTCATCGTAACAGCGGTCATTATCGGTCAAGCCCACGACCAACAAAAATAAGAAATCATCATATTCCAGATCGTGAAAATCCGGGTATGTCACTTCTTGATATCTCAAGTGGTTAAAAAAATCACTACTAACAGCATCAATTAGTTTCTTAAATAACTAATATTCTATTTATTCTTTATAGTACCAAGTTTTTGCTTAGGAGTCTTTGGTTTATCGTTATACACCACTGAACGTGAATTAAAAGAAGCATTCTCTAAATATGGTCGTATTAAAGGTACAATTATAATTAATACATCAACATTCACTCATTTTAAAGTCTGTTCTATGTACTTATTACAGATATACAAGTTGTTTATGATAAAAAAACAAATATATCTCGTGGATTTGGTTTCATCTATTTTGATGAAGTCGAAAGTGCAACACGAGTAAGTCAGAAAGAGACTTTTCACAGTTATTAGTCAAGAGATGAAAAGTATTAGTTTATAGAAGTGTGCTTGAACAAAAACGTTAACATTTTCTTGAAACAATTGTTCAAATTTTGTGTCATTATGAACTTCGAGAGTAAATCAGTCTTCTGTTTTTGAAAACTGAAAAATATCGAGCTAGAAACAACGAAAATACCATTCTTTCTTAGAATCAATGCGATCTGATCCATTTTGTAAAAGTTTCTAACCGTTTTCTCTTTTTATTTTACTTAGGCCAAAGAAGCACTTAATGGCACTGATTTAGATAATCACAAAATGCGTATAGACTATTCGGTGACCAGACGAGCTCATACTCCAAGTATGTTATCTGTTTTATTATACGCTCATTTTTGCACATCTAAATATTTATCTGCTATTGACTTTCTTTGTTCGATTACTGCCTCCTAACCACATTGACCATTCACACTATTTTAGTTTTTAATTTTAGCACCTGGAATTTATATGGGAAAACCGACTATGTAAGTGTTATTTCGCTGATGTTTTCTAGATGTTTATCTGTTATTTTGCTTTGTAGGCCATCTTATCGGCGACCTTACGGAAGTGGTTATCGAAGATCTCCCTCGTATGATCGACATCATCATCGTTCTTCACCACGTTCACGAAGTCGCTCACGTTCAAGATCTCCATATTCAAAATCACGACGAGGTACAACAGTTTGTGTTTTTGTACACCATGTTCTACTGTTCATTTGTTCACAGTCTAGGAGGAGAGAAAGCAACTCATGGTCGTATAAAATGAACAAATTTCCGTTAAATGATTTATATTATTACTCTCATTCAATAAACAAACAGAAAAATTTTGGTATGTTGATATTTATTTAGGATCTTACTCTTTTCGTTAAGAAATTTTTCGATTGATGCAACTGTTTACAAAGTTGCTATGTAAAATGTGTTGAACTATACATTTTACATACTACTATCATAACAAATACTGTTCATGGTGTCTGTAGTTTAACTCTTTGATATACGACGAGTTCTAGTTCATGAAAATAATCTTATTATCAGGTCTCTTCCTTATCAAAGTAGTTCCAAAAAAATACGTAAATTATATTCTCAAATGATTCACTATTTTTTATTCTTTATAGTTCCTACAATTTGTTCTGTTCGTTGTTCCGTTATTTTGTGCCCTGTATAACATTATTCTTAGGTGAGTATCTAGTCGCACACAAATAACCCTCTGCACTTATCTCGTATGAAAATGGATGTTTCGGGTTTGTTTTGTTTTTCTACTACGAGAAAAAGGAACAATCAATTGTTTCATTTTTTGCGCTTGTATGCGTGTAAATCGATGTTTTTCCTTTTTTATCCCTTTGTTTGTTTGTTTGTTTTTCAAAATATGTATAGTTTATTAATTCGATTGTTTTTTTCTTGTTGAAATGTTCGGTTATGCTTTTGTTTCTATTCTATTGGCATTTATGCATTTATATTATTATAACATAACAAACGTCTCATTTTTTTTCGTGTAAAACAAAATTCTATTGTGGCCCCTGCCTTTGTTTTCTTCTGTTCGCTATGGTTACATGAAAATATTTTGTTTATGTTTTTTTCTTTTCATTTTATGTTTGTCAAGAAACATAAGTGTGTACGTGTATACTAAGAAGCCATCTGATGAAGAATTATCGAAAAAATATTAAATAAAAGATTAAATAAAATAAATATGGAAATTAATTGCTTCACTTGGAAGCATGATGGAAAGTATCCCCATGGCTGTTTCCCATTTGAAGATGGAAGATTGAACAAAGAAGAGTTTTGTGTAGTGACACTTGAATAAAAGAAGAACTGAAGAGAGAAGATATATTCTGCGAAAACTAACATAAAAAAAAATTAAGAAAGATCAGCCCTTGTCGTCAATGATTACCAAGGATAAATCCGTACGTCTCAGTCACAAAAATACGTTGTTTTAATCAGAAGATATGAAAGTAAGTATTTTATAGCATTTATCTTTTTTTTTTGAAGAAAGATAGAATTATGTATACTTTCTACTCGATGTTGTTTGCTTACCTCATTGTTTCTTCAGATGTTTAAGTGAGGACAAAGAAAAATTCATCGAATAATAAATAAGCTTTATTTGATTTCTGTTGTTTCATCAAATCTCTTTGAATTTGAATACAAAATAGTAATAGAAGCGTTTTTAGATTCGCTATTTATTCTTTGCTGTTAAGTCACAGAAGAAGATTATTTTCAGAAAATAGTCTATATTTAACATGGCACTTAGAAAAAAGCTTCGAAAATAACTGAATATACTCTATGTCTAGGCATGCACCAGTTAAAAACGGATGTTAGGGCTTCCACGAAAACTGTTATAAATCGTCTATAAAGAATTATTTAGAGTTGTGGAGCGTTTTATTTTGTTGAGAAATGTTTGCTCCTCAAAACTCAATTGTGGAAAAAAATTTCAAGTTATTTCTAACAAAAATGTGCGTATTCTACAATGCACTAAAGTTAGAAGAAAAAACTGTTCGGACAGTTTTTTTTCTGAATTTAGTGCATTTTAGAATGCTCATATTTGTATCACAGATAATTTTGAAACTTTTCTACTTATATGGGAGTGTAATTCAAACATTTCTCTACAAAATGAGACGTTTCGCGACTCTGAGTAATTCTTTATAGGGGACTTATAATAGTTTTCGTGGAAGTCCAAATATCAGTTTTTAACTGGTGCATGCCTATGTCATATATAAAATTTGTTGATATAGCATGCTCAAAAGCATCCATTCATGAATGGACACGGATGAAGTCAATAGATTGTTACACAGAAACTTAAAGGCCAATTAATGACGGTAGTTGACAGTAAAAACTTTTGCAGAAATTCACAGCTAATAAAAAAAGCTTTATACGCTTGATTTATTGTTCAAAAACTATCACATGATCATTACACTCGATTTTAAAACAGATTTGTGATTTAGAATTTAGTGAATAATTGATTTTTGGTGTTTGCTTAGATTTTCTACTTTTATCTGTTATTTTTACGCTATTTTAATTACATCCGTATGCTTACTTTTTATAGTCATTGTTTTTCTTGAGGAAAACTGATTAATAAAAATGGATTTATGATTTATCTATGATGCTTGTATTAGCGATGGTGAATGTGTCATGTTAACACATTATTTTCATGCTTAACAGTAATAAATCCCATATTATCAGTACACAACAGAACTTGCAAGCTGAGGACGAGAAAGAAACGAAAAGAAGATCAATTTTTTGTGATTAACTGCGGCAGCTTGGAAATCTTCGACGACCAGAAATATCCCCAGCCAAAAATTTTCAAGAAATATTTGTCAACTATCTCATTAGATGTAGTTTTTCGCGTAGATCATGAATCTGATATTTTTTTTTAAAGAAAAAGAACGAAAGTAACTTCAAAATCTTCAAAGAACCGTTCGAAGCCCTTACGAATTTCTCAAAGACTATCAAACTTTAACTTCAAAATTTTCTACTGGAGATAATCGGGGTTCTATACTAATAAAAAATATAAGGAGTATTTATTTGGCATTAAGAAGTGATTTATGATCACATCTCAAAGTTGACAAGAATTAGTTTTTTTGTAAAAATATCCTTAATTCGTATTCATTACTAATGATATAAATAACTGAAAATACATCCTTGGATCGCATGTAAAATGATCGTTCAAATGAGCTAATGCACATTCAATTTTGCTTTTATTATCATGTCGACAAATAACAGCAATGGAAAGTCTTGAAGCTCCAGAAAGTCCAATGCTACGTCGAAATCATGATAGCTGAAGAGTGCGGATGACTCTCACTTGTTAGAGAACAGTCTGGATTTCCATCAAAGAAGATAAAAACGTTCGTTAACAATACCACCTGGTTTCTAAAAATTCTCTTAAAAACAAATCTTCTCAAAGAGTCTTTGGTTTTGAATTCTACATAGTGGATAACATTGTATAGTGCCAAGATCTTGCCGACGTTCGCGAGCTTATTGGAGTTGGAAACCTCTGCCTTTGGGTCTTTATGTTATCTTACGCTAGATTCACTTGTGGACATCAAAGACACTATTATCTTTCAAGGATTAAAACTAAAATAAATTAATCAGAGAAGATCCATTATCATTTTGACACTTGATTGAACTGCACAAGTTATACGATATATTGATCTCTTTTTTTCCCTTTTCCCTTTTAGTTTCTGAGATATAAAACTATCAGTATCACTGCTTAAAATTGGTAACATGTACGGTTTCATTTTCATAAAAAGAGTCGAAGATATCTGACGATTATCATTCGACAGCCAAATATCTCCATCTCTTCTCGTTTAGAAGTTATTCAAAAAATACTGGTGGATAGTAAGATAAGTATGTTGACACTGTTTTCATTCATGGTTTACAAAAAAGGAATACAATTAGATCTATTATCTTAATGTGTGTATCAAATTCAACAGAACATTTATATTTTTACTTTGAAAAATTGTCAAACGTCTGTTTCTGCTGTAAGGATTCCCCCCTCTATTTTGAAAATATTTTTGATTTGAGTTAAATATAGCTTAATGTAGAAGAAAGTCTGGTTAGAAAATAAAACCACTCTCAGTATCCCACGATCTCTCTGAATAAATCTATGAATTTTTTAAATTTTTGCTCAAGAAGCTAACAACAGTCTTGTTTTTTGTTTCCTAATTTTTTTTCGCCTTTTCAGTGTCTACTATTATTTCTTATACATAGTTTGATAGAACAAAGTGTTCTCTTCATGATGAGACGTTTTTTAAAAATTTTCAATGAACCATATTCACCTCCTGATGAGTTCGCCACATCTGCCCGTCAAACGGCTTGAAATCTGAACATATAAATTGTGTATTGTATAGACAGGATGCAAGAAAATAGTACCGAGATGTGGCGGCCTTATCAGGTGAATATAGTTCATTGTTTTTCGCGAAGATATAAGCATCGCCGCAAATTACATGAAAAAAGAGACCTTTCTAATGTTCCCTGTGATTCTCGAAACATTGATAACTCCAACCTGTGCCATTCACGACGAAATCGAAAACCTTTTGAAAAAATAGAGGTTGGGATGAGTTATCGTTAATATTTTTCTTTTTAAAGCACATATGATAACACGATTCGTTGGCACAATAGATATTTTTAGAGATATCCAATGTTTTTAGCCAAAGAGGATGATAAAGATGACATCTTCCAACCCAAACGCTTATTCTCAACCAAAACTATTGTAGTTTTCATTACAACATACTGCTGAGAACATTCATAATTTTGGTTTTAATTACGAATACTAATGGCATTGAATGTTAGCGTCTATCTTTGAATAGTGACGGAGTTGCTATGCGAAATAAAAATAATCATGATTATGGACAACAATTCGTATGTATATATATCATTCACTTTAAGTGGGCGAAATTAAGTAGAGATAATTTACTTATTACAAAAATAAACCTTAGAAAAATTACTTAATATAAATATATGGTAAATAAAAAAAGAAAGAATAATAATAATGAGAAGCTGTAGAAAATTTGATTATTTTCAACAATGAACTACATATAAAAGACAAAGACGTTAACTTCACTGATTCATAGTCCTTTCTTAAATTTAAAAAGGCAACATACATTTTGTTAGTCGAACAATAAAAAACGTTGCTAGCAAAATTTTTAAATTTGTAAGGTGCAGGTAAAACTCTTTAATAAAATAAGACTTTCAAAGTAAGAATACTATGAAAAATCTTTTACATTTACATGAAAACTGCTCAAGTTCCATAGAGCTTTCAAATAAGAAGCTGTTGAT